CCAGGTGTTCCCCCTACCACTAAAAACTAAATGTACAATAGGTAAAATCTTTAGGACTTTACAAACATTCAACCAAGACACAGTATAGATGCACTGATATTGTTATAGTTCTTTACCGTTCTATGTCCACAAAACTTCTATATTGTGCTCGGATCTTTCGGTTTCTATCCACAGCACTTTGTCCTCATCTCCAGCGTCACGAACACTGAAGCTTTTGAACTATGTAAACTGTGCGTTGGTTTCTCTTCAGATCTGACCCTGGAAGTTGTTAATACTTCTTATGTGACACGTCCTTCACAGAAGTCACAAACAACTCCCATTCTTATACTGTGATTCTCTCTGGTCCCTTCATTGATCAGAATAAGGAGAGCATGTGTATTGAGGGAAGAAGAATTGTGGGTAATTAGCTGATGGCTGACTCGGGCAGCTTTGTGTGTTAGAGGTGGGATGGAAAAAGCGATGAAGCTCGTCTCCTTGGGTGTCATAACGACTGCTTTATGGCCTGTTTGTGTAGCCTGCGCAGATATAATGTACAAAAAAAGACCTCTCTCCCCTTGCGTCTTAAATCCAGATTCTCCTCTCTCTCTTCTCCCTCATGGATCAATTCTCTGGTGTCTCCAAAGTCTGCGATGATAGAGCAACTATACTGGAAACATGCAGAGGACGGAGAGGTCTAAAAATAATACATTAATAAAAAGACAATTTCACCTCACTTTTCATGGACTACACAGAACTGCATGACCGTTCCACCGAAATGTCTTTCTTCACACTTGGAAATTGTGTTTTCATGCTTTTCAGGGACAAGAACTCCAGCAGCCTGCACGGATTTTAACATTTAAAAAGGGAAAAGAAAACCACAGTGAATACTCTGTTTATAGTTCAACTGTTGCTTGAAATTATTTTTATTTAATTGGGCTTAAATGGTCTTCTCATATTTCAGGCTTCTTGCATCCGGAGCCTCCGTCAAAGGATTTCACATGAAAATAAAAAGTCCTTTTCTGGGATCAGATTTTTTGTGATGTAGAAAATACTAAAACAATAACAGGATACAGTGTTTCTAGTGGTTTGCAGTGGTTATCTCTTGTGCGTCACAGTGAGAAGGTCCTGGGTTCGATTCCAACTCCTGTCTTTCTGTGTGGAGTTTGCATGTTCTCCCCATGTCTGTGTAGGTTTCCTCCGGGTGCTCCGGTTTCCCCTACCAATTGAAACATGTATAATAGGTCTGCTACACTGCAAAAAGTGATGAAAAATAAGTAAAAAATTGCTTAAATTTGTCATTATGTATCTTCAATTGAGCACATTCTGACTGCCTTAAAACAAGATTTGACAATGGGACAAAGCAAAATTATCTTGTCTTAAAAATATTTACAAGAAATGTCTCACTTGGAATGAGAAAATAAAGCAACAGTTCTTGAAATAAGACAAAATGGCTTTGTCCCAATTTACTAAAATTGAGGTAAAAACCACTCGATTCAAGCTATTATTACCTCATCTTTTCTCACTTTTTGCGGTGTTAATGGCTCCCGCTCCCATGTGTGGAGTGAGAGGACAAATAGTTGTAAAGTGCTTTGTGACTCTGGTGAAAGACACTGTTTAAAAAGATTACACACTAATCTTGAAAAAAGGGATAAATATTATTTGATTTGTTTTTTTGTCATAACATTGTAAAAGAAGCCAAGCCGAGTCTTCATTTACTTCCTTCAGTATTTTGCATTTGAAAGCAGGAGCGTCTCTGTGCTACACCTGGTGATGACGCACAGTATCATTGCAAAACGTAACATAAAAAATGAGAAATGGACGGTTCTTCGCACACGCTGCAGTATCAACCCTGATGATTTCGTTTATGATCCCACCATTCATCCGCACGTCCATTTTCTCACACTTTTCCCGTTGCAGAGTCAGCAGAGATGCCCAGTTTTCCATATCTACATACAGTACATACACCTCCTCCAGGCTATGTGGAGGTTTCCTGAAGCGTTCCAGGCCAGTCGGGACACGCCCAGTGCCTCACCTATTGCTACAAGGAGGATTTGTTGAAAGGAACTAACTTTAAAAACATTATTATTATCATTGTTTGAAAGTGAATAATAATAATAGACAATAGTTTTAAGCACCCCCTGTAATAACCTCACATTACCCCTATAGCGGTCTGCACACCCCTGGTTGGGAAACACTGCGTAGAGGTGAGATTTGTATGAACTTACTTTGACACTGTGTTCCGACGGAGGCTTTATAAATGTAGGAACAAAATGCACATTCAACAAACAAGGCTCTTCTCTGGATGGAAAAAGGGTTTTGTTTCTGCTGAAGGAAAAGGAGGTGTGAAAGTGTTTGTACAAGGCTTCGGTTCTATTATCCAAGTCAGAATCTGGCGAAGGAAGGAGTAAAACAGAATTTCATGTTGAGATTGAAGGTTTGCAGGTTCATAGATGCTCCGTGGCGGTCTCCAACCTTTTCCCTTGGAGAGCTACTTTTTCGTGACACCGGCGGAGAGCTACCCCTTTTACACACTCGACAAAAGGTTGTGCTACATTTCTTGAAACAATGGAACAGATTTAGTCCTATTTTCAGCACAGATATAGCAAATGTAAATATTGTTTTAAAATGTTTGGGCAATGTATAACTTTATCTTTAAAAAAAAATGGTGTAGTGTGATGCCCTTAAAACAATCTATCATAGTCATTTTTATATTGACTCATAAAATCATCCTTTGGAGAGCTACTTTGAAGAGGGTGGCGAGCTACTGGTAGCTCCTGAGCTATAGGTTGGAGACCCCTGGAGACCCCAGATTTAGAATTTTAAATGTGCTTGATTTTTTCCATTTGACATTTTTGACCATAAAACAAGCATAATTTTTGTCTTTGCATTTCAGTCTCTAAAAAATGTGAAAAAAAAAAAATTACACATCTCAATGGGATTAAAAATTCAAAATGACATATTAAAACATTCAATATGTTTATTTTCAAGCACTCAGATTCAATGCAAATTTGAGATAATTTAAAATGAATAATCGGAT